AGCAGAAAGCAGAGAGGTTTTGCATAGGAAGTATTTCTTCTCGTTTGAAACACACGATTCAACTTACCTTTTGCCAGGCTGCAACAGATCGAGTGCGAGGACCCAAACTGTTCAGTGAATCCGTAAGCGCCCACCATAAGGAAGTAACCGATTCCCGTGAACTTGGCCCTTATTACGGTTCTTACTTCCACGTTCACTTTAACTTCACGCACACATCACTTCACTTGTTTTTACCTATTGTGACGTACAGTGAAGTGATGAAAATGAACTCCGTGAAGTGACAGTGAGGTGATGTTCGGAATAGCCCTGTTCATTTCTCGTGACGTTCGTATTCGACTGCAAAGAACTGTCATGTGTTTTGTTTTGAAAATCGATAGAAATTTCCCTGCAAGTAAAGTTTTTTTTTTTTGAAAATGAGTGTGGAATTATGGTTTGATACCGACAGTGAAGACGAAGAGGAATATTCCAATCTTGCTGTCGATCGAAGGCGGATAAGTGATAATTCTAATCCGTTGGATCAAACCGAAAAATCGTAAGTATATGGAAACAGACTAACAGCTAAAATTTGAACGTGTATTTCGAAACTTACTTACTTCACATACGTTTTCCAGTTTCATTCAATTCTTCAGAGTATCCAAGGAGATTTTGAAATACCTACTGGAGATAATCGATGCAAAAATCAATCCAGTACAACTGTCCACGTCAGTGCCTCCAATGATCATGCTGGCAGCTTCGTTGAGGTTTTTTGCAGAAGGCAACTACCAGAAGGGCGTAGGTAACGATAGATTTATCGGATTGGCACAACCAACGATGTCTAAAGTGCTGCAACTTGTATTGGACATTATTGAAACCGAAGTGTGCCCAGCTGTAATCCAGTTTCCATTCGAAGAAAGAGAAACAAATGCGATTAAACTGGGTTTCTACGATAAAACTGGATTTCCAGGAGTAATCGTATGCGTACATGGAACCCACGTAAGCATCATCCCTCTGGCTCGCGACAAACACCTGTTTTACCGAGGGGGGCGACACATTCTAAATCTCAATTCTAGATGCTCAAAAAATCTCACACTAGCGAATAAATCTTCGAAAAATCTTCTTTCATTTCTCGCATCTACTTGCTTCGCACATCATCTTTTTGCAGGAAATCTTCAATATCGTGATAAATCTTCTTTCTATCTACTAAACGTACGCGCAGCTAGCCACAGCAAAACATAATATTTCCTGCATCGTAGATAGAGTCGTCCCCCTCGTGTTTTACAACCTTAAAGGCTTTTACAGTCTGAATGTTATGTTGGTAAAGTAGTTCTAGTAGTTCTGTTTCTAAACAAGGTTTTAGATCTCATTAATTTCACTCATGCAAATATTTGACAATGTACAGGTTTGTGATCATAACTTGATGATTCGGTATCTAGATGCCAACCACCCGGGCTCCTCCCACGACTCATTTGTTTGGAATGGCAGTTCGCTTAGTCAGTTGCTTTTACAAAGGTTCGAAAGGTTTTTAAATTTATGTAACACGCATGGAAAATAAGGAAATCTCTAAAATTTTCTGGACGACAGCCAATTGAATCTATAATGTCCAGAGTTGTATCATAAGGTAACTCTAGGACTAGTAGGTCCCGAAGAAACGTGCTCAACCTTTTGGCTCAACTCTGGTACTATCTTCGGTCCCAAGCTAATCGATGCACCCCTCGAAACATGGGAAAATCCACGAACCCCTCATTTTATCTGTCAAACTTTCATAGAGAATCAAAATAAACAGTGTAGTACTAGAATTCCGACTAGAATGGGCTACGTTAATCGTTTGTTTGGGACCAATAGGCCAATTTCAAATCGATAGTTTTGTATTGATTGTTGGTTGTATTGTTTTGCACGTGCGTCTTACCATCAGCAGACATGAATGTAGTGCCGCTGTATTCCTTTAATCTAGTACCACAATTTAAGTACTAGACCAAAGGAGCACAATCAACCGGTGGAAACTAACGATTTTAAATTGGATCACTACTTGGCTCTATTGGTCCCAAGCAAACGTACCCCATTCTAGTCAAAAATCTAGTACTACACAATGTTTGTTTTGATTCGCTATGAAAGTTTGACAGATAAAATGAGGGGTTCGTGGATTGTAGTGAATGTGTGTAGTAATTTTTAAATCTGGAAGAGATTTAGTATAACCAAATGTCTTTTATACCAAATGAAAATTCTATAACATTCCCCAGAATACCATCCCCCGGAATGCACTATTCCCCAGAAAAGCATTCCCCTGAATGTACCATTCTCCAGAAAAGTATGCAATGTATTATTGACTATTTTAGTTTATTATAGTCACTCCAGGAATCTCCTTTCGCGTACATAAAAAGAAGAGAAAAACTTCAATGGGTCAAGGGGTTTGAGGAGAGCTTAATGAATCAAGGGGTTTTCCATTCTTTGAAAATATAAGAAAAGGAAATAATATTTTTTTTTATATAGGTGCGTTCCCTTCTTTGATGATATATAAAAGAGAACAGACGAGGCTCGGTAGCTCAGTGGTTACCGTTTCTGCTTACTGAGCAGAAGGTCGGGAGTTCAATCCCAGGCCCGTCCCCTTCCTTGCAATTTTTCACTTTGCCTTATTCTATACCCACTAGATTTTAATGAAAACAAATTCTTCTTTAACACCGATCGCATCACTTACCACAGTGTGGGTCCTGATCTAAAAATAGAAATTTGATGAGTGCGCGCGCGTGTGTGTGTGTTTGTGTATTATAATCGCTCTACCAAAAACGATCCCTGCGTGTGCGTGTGCAACCTTTCCCCACATCCAACATCCCAGTGATTTCTCGTGGAAGCGCAGAGGATTTCTCGGTTTCCTTCACAGCGAGTACCACGTCAACACATTCCTTCCCATTCCCTAGTTGACCTGCATTCGGACACGGCCGGCGCTGGTATTGCTAAATATTAGATCACCAGTTCTTACACATTGAGGATGAATGTTAGTCCCAAACATCATCTGTTGGTTCTCTGTGTAATTGCAGCTGATCTGGTAATAACAGAGCAGCAACCGTGGGCGGTCAATCATGCTTCATGCTTTTTATATAAAAGAGAACATCATTAATTCGATAAATATATAATAAAGAAGGGAATATTCCTTTCTTTGAAAATATAACAAAAGAAAACAATTAATTATTTGGATATACGATAAAGAAGGGAATATTGAATATATAAAAGAGAATATCAGTTATTCTATGGATAAACGATAAAGAAGTGAATATATCTTTCTTTGAATATATAAAAGAGAAAATAAGTAATTCTTTGCATGTATGATAAAGCAGGGAATATTCCCTTAGTCAATACATGGCATACTTTTCTGGGGAATGGTTCATTCTGGGGAATGGTGCATTCTGGGAAATGGAACTCTAGGGAATGGTTTTCTGGGGAATGATTTTCGGGGGAATGGTTTTCTGGGGAATGTTTTAGAATCCAAATGACCATTATGCCAAAGGACCATTATGCTACGTTATGTTAAGCCAAGTGGATTTATGCCAAAGGCGTTCCCCCATTAATTGTTAAACCGGCCCTGATTGGATGATCTTCTGTAAAATGTTTTCTTAGTATCGTATTGACTAACTCCGATATCAACATAAAACCAGTTTGACGTTAAAAAAAAACAACGTCGAACACTTGGACTTTTTGACGGGAATCACCCTGTTGTTAATTAATACATAGGTTTAACTTTTTGTTCTATTTACAATATAGTACCAGTGTTTAACCAACAAAAGACAATTAGTAAAATAAACTGCGTTTGGAAATGAATTCGGGGTAATGGCCATTCGGGGTAGAGTACTATTCGGGGTAACGGCGTTCGGAGTAGTGTACCGTTCGGGGTAACGGCGTTCGGGGTTATGGCGTTCGGGGTAGTGACATTCGGGGTAGTGTCACAGAATCATTTTATTATCATTATAGGTGATGCTGGTTACCCTTTGACACCATTTCCCATCACTCCGTTTCGTACGGGTACAAATACCACTGAACGGCAGACCAGGTTCAACGAAATACATTCCAAAACTCGAATCACGGTGGAAAGAACAATTGGAGTGGCCAAGAATACCTTCCGATGCTTATTAGGAGCAAGACAGCTGTATTATAAGCCTGAAAAAGCTACGCAGATTATAAATGTTTGTGTTGCCCTACATAATTTACGCATGAAGCATAAAATGGATTACGACGAGCCAGAACTACCAGATGGAGAAGGGGAGGCAGAGTTGCGTGGTGTTGACAGGAATCAAAATGTTCCAATTACACACAGAAAAAAATATTTTAAACGTAATAATATTTGACGTAAATTTAATAAGAATTTCATTTTGTTTTGGCTGCAAAAATAAATCATTATTATTTCAACAATCCAGTATCTTTGTTTCTAAAAACCCATGGATTGTTAAATCAAAAAGAAAATCTTTTCGAATTTACAAGAGCTTTTATGGTTTTGACGTAAGCTGTCAAATTTGGCAGCTGCGTCAACAAAAAATATGTTTGTTTTAAAAAGAGATTTCTTGTTGATTCAATTTATTTTATTAAGCCTGAAAATATACGCAGTAGAAATAAAAATAGGGGAATTTACGTATTCTCGTCAATCTAAGCAGCGTCCGAACTTCTATAAGCGATTTCTCAGCGTCACACACATACATGACAGGTTTGTTTGTTGACATTTATCTGCTGCTTGCTGTTCTACCAATTCCAATCGACAGAATTGATCAAAACGGGTTGAACATGTTTTTACAACGCTACAAACTTCTCAGGTGAGAGTGACTATTGTCGGCAGCCTCTTTTTCTTCGGCACCCTTTCCATTTGAACTGCGTGTTAACCAGCTGTTCTATTATCGGCAACTCGAAATCAGCCGTATTTTGTAGTATGTATATTTCATTTAAAGAAAAATATGGTATAACAGGAATTCACAGTCGTAAAAATGTAATCAGATTGAAGCTGAAAATGTAAGGAATCGGCTTAATACATTCAGCGAAGAGTTTTGATGGGAAAATACAGTGAAATAAACTTTTCAATTTCGGTTGCCGAAAACAGTCAATGGGTGCCGAAGCCATAATTTACCCTATGTTAATTGATTCAATATTTAATAATTTGCGATTATTTTTATGTTTTGTTTTCTATTTGTAACAAACAGAATTACAATTGAATTAAAAAAAACCTTTCTGAGGCATAAAATCTCTCCGATTCATGAGTTGATGGGTCGATAGGTAGGGTCCAGATGTGGGAGCGGCCTTCCTGGCGTCGGGAGCATTGGTACTCAGTACTGAAGATAAGATCGACGGAAAAAATCAAGGAAAAAAAGAAAAACTGTGTATATGTTGCAACTGCAGCATACTTACTTACCTCTAGAGCTGAATCAAACGAGACAATTTTTGTTATTGTTTACATTTTTGTCCGGGTGAAAACGAGGGAATGGTTGGTAGTTATTTTTACATTCATGGCCCGGGGAATAGACACAACAAATAAATTTTAAATTAAAATTAACTATTGTTGGCTTAATAAAAGAAAATTGTTATTTTTACAATAGTTGCAGTTGAAGAGTGGTTTATTAAGGCAAAAAGAATTTTATTTTGAATTTATTTGAATAAATATTATCGAAACAATAAAATGCAATATAATTTAAACCGGAATTGTTTGTTTAAATACAAATAAAGTTTTTTTTTGGTTCAATGCAAACAATTTTCTGTCCGTGTAGAATCAGATAAGAAATCATGAACAATATTTTGTAAACAGCCATGTTGTTTTATGTTTCATAATAAAAAAAACTTGAATTTATCCACCAATGCGCAGTGAGACAGAAATTAAATTCAGCAACTTCTCATAAAATTTTACGTTCTACAACATGACAACATGTTGATGATACCTTTCATTTGGTGGTTGTTGCATCCAATTCAGCTCAGTGGTTGCCGAGAAACATGACTCATTTTACCTGTAAGACTTTTTCGTTACACAGAGGAGCTGTTTATAAATCACATAGACACTTAAGGTTTGGCGGTTGCTTACGGTCCACAAAAATCTCCAAAAAGTTGGATTTTCAAGCGGTATGATATGATGTAGCAATAAATAAATGTATATTTTGAACAATGATAAATGGATTCGAACTTACTTAAAAGACTAGCATTCATTTGAAACTTGTATGTCTTCAAAACAACGACACTATAATATTGAAGATTATTTATTGAGTAAAGACATTATTTAGGAA